AACAGGAATAATTCTGGTTTAAATGGAATCTGTATTTGTAGTATGCTCTGCATCAACATTTTTATTTGAGTCCAAAATTTCTTTGCAATTTTACATGTCCACCACATGTGGTAAAACGTCCCCCTAATTGCTGCATTTTTAATGATTTCTTGCTTTTGGGAAATAATGATAGAAAAGAGCTTTGGGAATATGGGGAAAAGCCTAAATCCTTGAATCAGGAAAGTCTGCGAGTACAAGTTCTTTGTCCATTCTATTGTTCCTTCTCTAGCGCTGCCCCAACAAGTACTGGCTTGTACTTAGACAAGGCTTTCATGTTTCCTTTTCAGTGGAATGAGACTGTTGAGCTCTTTCGAAATGGAATGCCTTTACGGAAACATCGTTCTCACTTCAAAAGCTATGAACGTTGCTTCACAGCTTCCGAGGCAGTGGAGTGGTTGCACAGACTGCTAAGATGCAACCAGAACTTTAGCCCGGAAGTAACCCGTGCTCAAACGGTTCAGCTTCTGAAAAAGTTCCTGAAAAATCATGTTATTGAAGATATCAAAGGAAGATGGGGCAAGGACGATTTTGAGGATAATGGTAAATTATATAGGTAAATAACTGAATGGATTATTGGGGCAGAAATGTGTGCTATGTTTGTTTTTAAATGACTGTATTTCAAGCTAGTCTTGAATCCTTAGCCTCCAGAAGCAGAAAGAAATGGCATGATTCTTGCAGCAAGAACAATACAAGTAGTCCTCAGTTAACGACCGTGACTGCACTGACTTATGGCAATTCCAGCAGTTGTGGTTGTTAAGCGAATCGTGCTTGGTCGTTAAGTGTGACATGTCATGCTTCCTGTGTGACTTCCTGATGGCTTCCCCACTGACTTTGCTTGTCAGAAGCTCGCAGTGAAGGTTGCAAGTGGTGATCACATGACCATGGGATACTGCGACCATTGTAATTGTGTGCTGGTTGCCAAGTGCCTGAATCCCGATCACGTGACTGTGGGGACACTGTGCCAGCTTCCGCTTCAAGGACTGTCTGTAAGTCTTGTTCAGTGCCATCGTAACTTTGAACAGTCGCTGAATGAGTGGCCACTAAGCGAGGACTACCTGTACTATTTTTCCAAAACCAACCGGACAATTCTGTTCTCACCTTCCATCCCCCAAATTAGGACAGACACTTTTTTTAAGAACCAGAATTAAGCCAGTCACTCTCTCTCAGCCCAACTCACCTTACAGAGTGGTGGTTGTGGGAAAATAGGAGGAGGAAGTAGTATTAGGTATATTCTCCCCCTTGAGTTATTTATAAAAATAATAAAGGTGGGATAATTTTTTTTTTAAAAAGCTGGCAAAACTACATTCCCCCACAAAGTGCACAGTCAACACACCACTCCCCCACACCCAGTAGAAGCAGCACAGAAGAAAAGCTGCCTCTGAAACTTGCAAAGAAAAGCACATCCCACACACCTTTTTCAACACAGATATACCAACCACATTCTCCCTGTGTAGATTATTTATCTTATCAGCTTTAGCTACCTGGTTGGCATAATGCAAGGTAGTTGCTGTGCCTACATCCAAAGAATGCACTGAGCTCTTTTGGGGGAAAATGCCGAACAGAATATTTACATAAAATCCTGTTGACATTGCCTGAATTAGACTGACCCTTTCTAAGTTACCCCACCCAGAACTTTGTAAATATATCACCAAGGTAGAAAAAGTAAACACATAGTTTTTAAAAAAATCTAATGGTCAGTATGGAGCAAAGTTTTGTTGTGGATGATATACATAGATAAAAACAAGAACGTTTGAATTATTTCTGCAAAGATTTGATGGTGGTATAAGCTTCAGCTACATTAGAGGGAGGCAGCTGGAGGCCTCACAACTGCATGGATCCTCCAAAACTCTTAAGCCCTTGAAGCCTTATTTGTCTACAATTGCTGAACATTAAGTGTATGATTCCCATCATTCTGTGATAAATAATAGGTTCGTAATAATAATAATAATATTAAATAGACTTGATAGGTAGACAAAAATGCCAAATCCACTCTAAACATCTGGCTGACACTGCAACCAACCATAATAATATAATAATAAACCTCCAAAATTCCAGGGAGAAAAAAACAGGAATTCCTAGTCCTTTTCATGTGATGTGTATGACACAACTGGGCTCCTTTGCATTCTCATACTCCCCCAAAAGTCCCATCTTTTATCATCAAGACATTGCCTATCCCAATTCTAAACTTCTAAAGTATAGGACTTGTACCTTGGCTGCCATATTTTAACAAGTAGTTAAACACATTAATTTTTAAACATGAATGTATATATTAGAGTACAACAAATACTTTTTGTAATATGTAGATCATGAAAGTACCCTATGAGATTGACTCATATGGGTGTTGTTGTTTATAGAATATCACCTTGTTGTGCATTCACATACTGACATTCCAAGATATCTTCTACCCTGTGGCACACCTAACCTGACTCCAGACTTGGGCGGTAGACTAGATTTACCTTCATCTAATATTTGAAGGCTCAAAGGTTAGCTATTTATATTTAAGATATAAGCAAATATTAAGGTAAAAAAATAGGAAGTAGAATGTCTTGTAAAGGTCTTTAGACTTTGATCACAGTTTTGACTGTAGCAAAGGTCATTTTAACCTAAAAATAGAGCAAGGTGCAACTGCATTAAAATGCCAAAGAGATTATGCTAGTGTCTTCAGTTAAGTGGTCAAGATATGCTAGTATTCTCTGGTTCAACAATCACAGATAGACTTATTGGACCTATTAAGCACAAAAAAAGTGATAACATCTTGATGCCATGAACATGAAGTCCTTGCATTTGAATAGCCTGTCAATGATTAGTTTTAGAATGAAGGAAATAATTTTAAGCTGACATAGTTTAAATGTTTCCAGTCTGTTGGGATATGCCTTAGTGTGACTTTTGTTACATCTTTTTGAGATGAGTGGAAGTGAAGATATCTATACTAAAATGTTTACCTTACCATCATAACTTGTTGGAGATTGATATGCTTACATATTTTTATGTATCACCACATTCCAAATAATTTGAGGCCCTTTACATATAAAAAAGACCAGAGAACAATAAAACCAGAAAAATCATTTCATGGAACTTTCAAAAGGTGATAAGGGCATGAGTCACTGTTGTCAAGCCTCTCCCTTAAAGAAAGGCCCCACAGGCATACCAGCTGGGCTGAGTGAAGGCTTTCCTAGTTATGGTCCCAACTTGCTGTTCTAGCAATAGCTGTGAGTCCAAGAGAACTGCTTAGTTACAGAACAACTCCTTCAGAGGAAATGCAACCCTATCTAAAGTCAGTCAAGATGCTGACAGATAATTTTGGGATGAACAGCACCACTGCATTGAACTTCAGCCTGTCTCCCCTCCCCCCCCCCCCCCCCCCCCGCATTCAGAACCTGATAGTCTCCAGGCACAGGGTTGGAACCTCTACTGTATTTCACCTAGACCTCAAGTGGTGATGTACCACTAGATGTCATCTGCATATTAATGATACCTCATCTCTATGATCTCCTGCAATGATTTCCTTCCTCTTAAAGAGGGAAGGTTGAAAACTGGGTGGTAGTTGTCCAATATGGCTGGATTAGGAGATGGCTTTCTCAGGAGCAAGCATTCCTTTAAAGCAGTCAGCACAGTCCCCTCTCTGAAAGAAGCATTTACCACCTTTAAAATCCAAGAAAGCACAGTTGCATCTCACAGTCCAGTTGCATCTCACTGGACACTGGTCCATGCAAAATCCAACCCTGAAAAAATGAGAGTGACTTACTTTGAAATGTTTAGCAAATATTACACAGTGGCTCTTCAGAAAATTTACTTATTCCTCCCTCCCCAGTAGGGAACAGCCTACCTTAAGTAGGGCTGCCAGACAACATCTGTGGAGGACCATCTTAATTATTCATATATCCTTGTGGAGGTCACAGGTGGTTATGCGTATTGAACTGAACAGGGCAAAGGACTAACAATAATGTCCTCCATCTTGAGCTCGCAAGCCAACTGCTCTTAGGGGAGGACAGGTCTAATGTGTAGCTTCCTATACAGGTTGGACCCAAGATTATCCAGAGCAAGCCCATGGAGACATAGACTCCTGAGCTGTCCTGAAATCTGCTCCCCAGGCTTGGGGATTGAAATTCCTCAGCACCAGAAGCTGAGACATTTCAACAGTAGCCTGCATTGAGGTCCGGGAGCAGCAGGTTGGTAGTACATCAGCAGAATCCCTGACTTGTCCCTACATCTTAATTTCATATATAGGTACTCATAACTTTTAAAACACCCAAAATCCAGAAGGAGAAATTTTGGGCTGGGCCACATCCCAACCCTCAGTTTTGATAATACAGACCAGACCCACTCATTCATCTAATAAGTGCAATCTTTTTGCACATGAACCTGGCATTCACCAACATGCTAAGCACCCACAAATTGTTTTCCTAGATATCCCCACCAAAACAACAAGGCATTTTACTAGAAGTAGGAACCCAGTACCGATTAGCTGGCCTTTTCCTGAAACAGCTAACTCAGAACTTACTGTCAAACCTTCCTTTGCCCATCACAATTGCAACTGGCTCCACTTCCTTTCTTCCCATTCCCTCAGTGAGTTTCTGGATCCATCCCATTGCTACTAGCAGCCTTCCACACAGATAACCCATCATTATTCAGTGCAACACAGCTGATCTATCTACCTCCTATGCAACCATGCATGCCTTGACCTGACACCTTTTATTAAACACCCACTTTGTTCCCACAAAGCACATGTTCCCCAAACACAGCCAAGCTGAACTACCTCCCATTTGGGGCCCCGGGGCCCCTTTTATCTAGTATCTTGCTGCAAGAGGTTTATTCCTGTATGCTCTAATTCCAGGGAACCACCAGCTTTTACCTACTTCGAGGAGTTCATACTGTAGTTCAACCTTGTGCTGTGGGCAATGACACACAGCTCTTATATTGCTGCACAGGGCTTCTTCTCATCACTTTGACCACCCCAACAGAGCAGAACTGCCAGTGGCTGCTGGGACAGCATCCACAAAGCTCCCTAGCAATCTTCTGCCCAGCCCACTAGTATCTCCTACAGCCTAACCTGTGTGATGCTACATGGGTCCTGTTGTGAGAGGATTGCAGATCTCAATTTACATCCAGGTTTTGGAAGGCCCTCTTCCAACTACTAGACATTTAGAGTCATTTGTCGTACTCCATCATCTGTCCCCTAATGGGTACTTGAAGAGAGTGAATCAATTATTGGAACAGTACTTGAACTCTTATCTTATCTTGCAGAATTTGCCTATAACAGCTGAATACGTTCCTCCTTAGGCATGTCTCCCTGTCAGGCAGTTTATGGCTACTATTTCCACATCTTGCCCTCCAGGATTCTGGCTTCTCCTGTTCCTCGCAGGCCTGTTTCTCCACAGGTTACTCAGCCCCTCTTTTAAAAAAATCTAGATTTGGCAAAGACTCTAAATAAGCAATGGCAAACTTAGAGAGCTACAACAGGGAAGCTGGTCAGTAGTTGATTATATAAGCAATTTCAGGTTCCTGGCAGAGACCAAAAGTGGATTGAGGGAGCTCTGATGAACTTTTCAGGAA